AAGAGACACACCTTACACACAAAGACAAAAACAGACTAAAAGTTAAAGGATGGAAAAAAATATTCCAAGGCAACAGTAATAAAAAAACAAACAAAAAACAAGCAGGAGTGGCAATACTAATCTCTGATAAAATAAACTTTAAGGCAAAAACCAGCATAAGAGACAAAGAAGGACACTATCTCATGATTAAAGGGTCAATTAAGCAAGAGGACATAACCATAATTAACATCTACACTCCAAGATATATAAAGCAAATCCTACTAGACTTGAAGAAAGAAATAGGTGAATCTACAGTTACAGTAGGGGATTTTAATATGCCACTTTCAAAAAGGGATAGAACAACCAGAAAGAAACTCAACAAAGCTACAGAGGAACTAAACAGCACAATCAACCAACTTGACCTCATAGATATGTACAGAGCATTCAACCCAACAACAGCACAATACACATTCTTTTCTAGTGCACATGGAACAATCTCCAGAATTGACCATGTGCTAGGCCACAATGCAAACCTCCAGAAATTTACAAACATCAAAATACTACAAAGCAGCTTTTCAGACCACAATGCCATAGAATTAGAAATTAACAATAACAAGACCAAGGAAACAAATTTCAATACGTGGAAACTGAAAAACACCCTGCTGAAGAGCGACTGGATAATAGAAGAAATGAAACATGAATTCAGAAAGTTCTTAGACACAAATGAGAATGAAAACACAACATACCAAAATCTTTGGGACACGGAGAACACAGTTCTGAGAGGACAATTTATTGCGATAAATGTGCACATCCAAAAATAAGAAAGAATCAAAATTAACACATTAACACAGCATCTCCAGCAACTAGAAACAGACCAACAGAGGGAACCTACAGTCACCAAAAGAAAATAAATAATAAAAATCAGAGCAAAAATAAGTGAGCTAGAAAACAGAAAAACTATAGGAAGAATCAACAGGACAAGAAGAAATTGTCAAAAAGGAAGTAAAACTCTCTCTATTTGCAGATGATATGATCCTGTATATAGAAAACCCCAAAGTCTCAGTTAAAAAGCTACCAGACCTCGTGGGAGGATTCAGCAAAGTGGCAGGGTATAAGATCAACATACAAAAAATCAGTTGGATTCCTCTATACCAATAATGACAGTGCTATAAAGGACATTAGGAAAGCAGTACCATTTACTGCAGCTGCCCAAAGGATTTTGAAAGGATTAATAAAATTGACAGACCATTGGCAAACCTAACAAAAGAAAAGAGGGAGAAGACACAAATAACATGCATTAGAAACCACATGGGTGAGCTCACAACTGAACCAAAGGAAATCAAAAGGATAATAACAGATTACTATGAAGAGTTGTACTCCAAAAAATTTGAAAACTTAGAAAAACACGACCTACCTAAACACACACAATGTGAAGTAGAAGACTTGAACAAACCCTTAACAATAGAAGAAGTTGATCAGGTCATCAAAAAGAAGTCCATGTCCAGATGGCTTCACTGATGAGTTCTATCAGACATTCAGGGAAGAGTTGTCACCAATTCTACTCAAATTATTCCAGAATATAGAGGAGGATGGGAAACTTTCTAATAGAGTTTATGAAGCATGCATAATCCTCATACCAAAACCGGAGAAGGACATTACTAAGAAAAAATTATAGATCAATATCTCTCATGAACATAGATGCAAAAGTTCTCAACAAAATCCTAGCCAACAGAGAGAACAGGTCACTTTCCAGTAGAGGTGTTGGGTGGGTGGCCGCTGCCTCTGGGCTGGAATGAGCTGTGCACCTGGTGGCAGAAGAGTAGCCGAACTGGAGCCATGGCCATTATGTTTTGCAAGCTATGGAACCTCAAGTAAAACAAGTTTTTCAAAGTCTACCAAAATCTGCCTTCAGTGGTAGATGTTACAGAGGTGGATTTCAACCCAAAATGACAAAACAGGAAGCAACATTAACACTGAGTGTAAGCCCTACTACCAATAAAGAAAAAATAAGAGCTGCTCATCGAAGAATCATGCTCTTAAATCACTCAAACAAGGGAGGATCTCCTTATATAGCAGCCAAAATCAATGAAGCTAAAGATTTACTAGAAGGTCAAGTTAAAAAGTGAAGAAAATGAAGTTTATGGAGGTTAAGTAAGTTGTCCAAGGCTACATACATGCTGAATAAGAAAGCTGAGAATGAACCCTTGTCTTAGCTCCACAGTTCAGTATGTTTAACCTCTGTTCTGTGTACCTTTCAGTTCACCAAGATGTTCTCCTTGGTGATGCTAAAATGTGACTCTGGTAACTTGTCATTACACATTTATCTTAGACCAGTTGTTATAAAGATGGTCATTGCTTACATAGCAATACACAAAGTTGAATCCAGCACTAATGAATAAGAGGTACAGGTTTCAGTAATGCAACATTTCTTCCACAATTTATGAGGAAACTAAAAACTTAGCAGTGGCTTCCATGGTTATACAGCTAGTAAAATTAGAATTAAGCCCTGAGTATCTTCTCCAGTTCACTGCCTTCATTTGTAATTTGGTTCTTCGTATTTAATAGATAAGTGTGGGGACATTCCTGTCCACAGTCTTAATACTAGATTATGTTTGTGTCTCTACTTAACACATTGCCTTCACTGGGCCTTTGGATTGATATTTGATGAATCCTAACATGTGATATGAAACCTTGGCTTTCCTGGTGGTGAAATGGGTTATAATGTGTGGTCCTGGAATTAAATATCTTCTCTTCAAAAAAAAAAAAAAATCCTAGCCAACAGAATCCAGCAGCACATCAAAAAAATACTACATCATGACCAAGTGGGATTCATATCAGGGATGCAAGAATGGTTCAACATTAGAGAAACAATTAATGTAATCTACCATATAAACAAGAAAAAAGGAAAAAAAC